TGCCTTTATATCTCTTATGGAAAAACCCCATGTGTTGTTGAAATCGCAGCAACTTGATTATTGTTTTAAAGTTTGTGTATTACTTTCTAATGGGGTGAATATAAGCATAGGAGGAAACGGCACTTTAAGTGGTCTTCTAGTAGTCTAGCTGCTGAGCAGCCTCTGGCGATGTGCACTGTGCTCTTATGGGAGGCACATGTATTGCCAGGTGCCTCTGGGTAAAGAAATGTCTTTCCAGCTTGGCATCCAGCACTTGTGACTTTCAGCGATGCCCCAGGTAGCGTGCCTGCGGTTACCCTGGGACGAAGCACAGAAGCCCTGTGTGAGCTCTTCTCTCAGTCCTAATTCAGTAGTGTACTGTATCAGCTGATACTTGCATAAACAAATGCAGCCGAAGCTGTCCCAGCTTGTTCATGGGGTGAATCCTAGAACAGCAAGTAAAGGCAAAGAAACTTCTTAGTGTGCCGCATTGTCAGACCTAGTATATTGCGAAGGTCTGTCTGTGTGACTGTGGGGATTGTTGCTTTGGGGACCTAATATCAACCTTGTCCTAGGTTCTTCACCGTGTAAGTACTGCTGCTCAGAGCAGCCCAGGGGCCTGGCATGTTCCAAGGGATCTGGAAAAAAAGTGGACAGCTCTATCCCAGCTCTTCCTGTGATAGTTAATGAGGTATATTCATATTTCTCTGCAGAATTATGGCTGTAAATTTAATAATAGAAAGAGGGTTTGCTGCAGTGCATTTAGTTGTTTTAAATTAAAGTGGTTTTGTGGGAGGTGAAGTAAGAGTTAGATCAGAACACTTAATACTGTTAGCTTTAATAAAGACATGTTGATACAGTAACAGCATTAACTCTTTGTTCTGCTTCCCCTTCTAGCAAGGCTGGCAGTCAGAGTGCTGCACACCTATAAAACTGTTCTGGGAATTAAAGAAACTTCTCTTAGAGGAATGAGCATTTGAATAAAGGGGTTTGGGGGCTTCTGTAAAGTACAGAGATCATGAAAGATTAGAATCCCTTGTAGCTGAGTATCTTTTACTGCCTTACTGTTTAAGAAGGATCAAAAGGGAATTTCGTAAGGTGAATAAGTGATTTGATGTCTGTCCTCTAAAATAAGAGTGACTTTTCTTTTCTGTAAACACCTATGACATTGAAGATCCAGCAGTTCATTGCCTTCTAGACTCGAAATCCCTTTGGGCCATTTCAGTTTCTACATAAAGAGCTCTGGCAGGCTGCCAGTTCATTACAATGATTACTGTCCAAGAACAATATGGCAAAATATAACCATTTAAAAGGTGACATGCAAGAGCACGTTTAGAAAACATCTGAAGACTGCAAGTAAAGCAAAGGCAGATGGGGGGAAACCCTGGTCAGATTGGGTTACAAGGGGTATGGGTGGGAATGAGGTATGAAGAGAACATTAAGCAAGGAAAGCCTGAGCACACTGGTGCAGCATAGATGCAGCTAGTTTTCTCCACATCCTACAGTGCTCACAGAGTACAATTTAGTACCAGAGATGAAAAGTAATAATACAAGAAAAGCCTAAAGGTAGCAACAAAAGCCTGAAAACCTAAGGAAAAAAGCTAAGAAAACAGTGTTGGTAATATACCTGAAAGTGAAATGCTGTTGAGACTTCACAAAGTACAAGGGACCACACTCAACTAGGATGCATGGTTTTGGGGGGATTGGGCTTTTTTGTCCTCCTCCCCTCCCTGTCAATTTTCCACCCCCAAAAAAATTTGCCTGGTATATCAAATGGTTTAGAACTGCATTCTCAAGCTGATCTCTTTCTCCATTTCAGCCTTTGCTCATTAGGTCTTGTGTGTGTGCTGAGCTTTAAACCCATTGTAATGTCTCCTGAAGGAGTCCTGTAAGGGGTTGGTTGCTTGTTCTGGACAAAGGGCTTGATTCTGTTAGTATTGGGGTTAAATCCCCAAACCCCTTTGCGGCCACTGTGACCTTTCCACTCCCTCTGGCACACGTTTTGCAGGAGGCCTGTGGGGAAACTGCAGCAAAGAGCTGCATGCCTCTGGCACTAGCCGTTCTCTTCTCTCAGTGCTGAGCATCTGGGGTACTCCTGCATTAAGATACAAGCCAACGTGTTACTTGCCTAAGAAGTCTGATTTCTGCACTTCCTAGCCCAAAATGCGTTTTCTCGAGATTTTTGGCTCATTGTTTTAAATAGTTACTGATTTCAGTTGCACAGAGGCAGTTAAGAACACTGTTAAATTTTAATACCTTTGTAGTACTTCCTTTTCCTGCCTCCTTCCAGCAGGTGGTCTGAGGAAGTCTGCCTAGACAGTATGAAAACCAATAAAGAAACAAAACCAAAATTGCAGAAAAGCAATATTCTCAGGTTGTGACTCGACTGATGATGTTCCCCCTCAGCAGATGCCAGGGCCGGACAACATTACCTCTAATTTTCTGTGATGAGTTGAGAGAAAATGGCAAGCAATACCTGTGAGGAAATCCTTCTTATGGCTGGCAGTGGGTTGCAGTTCAACTAATGTAATTCTAGTCTAGTGACTCTTGCTTGTTGTTAACTTATTATTTATTGACAGGGGTTTTTCACGTGCGGATTTAGAGTATAAGAAAAGCAGTGCTTTTATACATGTTGCACAGAAAAACGTCAGTACTGAAAATGTACTCGCACTTTCATGTTCCCCTTTACCAAATGTTCAGGCTCTCAGCATATTGGGACTTCCTGGAGAATGTGCTTTTTTCCTGCAGTGTTGGGAATGAGCTTTGCTATAAGCAGGTGTAACCTTCAAGTGAGAAACTTACTGTTTCAACTAGGATGGGATTTGTGGAGAAGCTAGAGAAATAGTTACCCATCTCCCCTTGGATGCAATGGGATTTTATGAGGAAGAGCATCTCTCAAAAGCTTTTAGCAATTTAAAAGCATCTGTTGCTTAAAAAAATCGTCAGTGGAAAGTGTTCCAAAGCCCCTTGGGTTTGATGCCCAAAACTCCTACTTAGAAGTTTTCAGCTTTGGTTAGGATTGTAATTCCCTAAAAAGCAGGTAGTTAGACTGTACTTACACATGTAAGTTTGGCAGTACGTTCTTATTATCTAATGACATTCAGATGACTTAGGTGCATTAGCACAGCAAATTAATTATTTGTTTCTGCCAGAAATTTTCTACTCGCAGACTAATCCCCAAATAAGGCGATTGTACAGGTAGCCTTGATGTTGCTTCTGGGTCAATCTTATGACTTTGCACTGGATGAGCATTTTTGAACTGCTGAATTCTCGTTAACAGAATTTCCCATTTATCTTTCATTCTGAGCTCTGCTTGTAGTTTTAGTCTTAATAACATGCTGTTTAAATCACTTTGGAGATTCCTGTGTTGCCCTTGTGGGTAAACTGTACAAGGAGTTCTTACAAACACACATGATTTTGATCTGAAATGTTGGCTGCTGACTTGTTACTGAAATGCCTATTTTGTGATAAGTAAAGCATAGCTGTAGCATCAGTGGAAGGAGCTCCCTTTTAATTTAAATGGAAGTGGGGAAATGGATTGTGCTGACAATCACTTCTTAAGGAGTTTAAAGTAATAGTGTCAACTGTAAAGCAAAGTACAACAGGTATTTCTTTAACACGGTTTGTCATTTTCTGTAGATGTAAAAATGTTTTGTATGTTGACGATTATTTTTTTTTTTTGGTAGTAGAATAATTCAGCTACCTTCAATTTTACGCAGTTGTCCTTTGATAGCCGATTATCAGAGCCAAATTAGTGAAACATGTGACTGCTGCACCTCTGCTTCAGTCACTCAGCGAACTTGTTTTAAAGCCCTAGGGAGGGTGTGTAGAACCATTGACTCATGTTGAACTATTGACTCCTGCTGA